TCCATCCATCCATCCATCCATCCATCCATCCATCCATCCAATCCATCCATCATCTACTCATCCACCATCCACCCCTTTATTATCCATCCATCATCCACTTCACCTATCATCCATTCTCCCATTATCTATTCTTCCATTCATCCATCCACCATCTAGTCGTCTGTATTAATCACTCTTATCATCACTGTGGTCAAATACCTAACCAAAACAAGAAAGGAAGGACGGGTTTACTGTGGCTCACAATTGAGGGTGCGGTCTATCATGGTGGGGTGGGCGTGGCGGCAGGAGCAGGAGGCAGCTGGTCGTGTGGCATCCACAGTCAGGAAGCAGAGAGACGGACATTGGTGCTCAGCCTGATTGTATTCAGACCAGGACTCTGGTCCGTGGGGATGGTGGTGCCCACATTTGGGATGGGCCTTTACATCTCACTCAACCCAGTCTAGATAATCTCACACAGACGTGCCCCAAGGTTTGCCTACTAGGTAATTCTAGAATCTGCCAAGTTGACAATATTAACCATCACACCATCCATCCATCTACCAACTCACCATCTACCCACTCACCATCTATCCACCCATACACCCAGCCAGCCATCTATCCATCCACCACCCACTTGCCCATCCATGCGTTCACCATCCATCCATCCATCATCTATTCACCCACCATCCATCCAGCCACCATCTGTCTACTTATCTACCCATCCATCTTACTTTTAATGCATTACAAATATTCTTAGTAATTCAGAATGCATATGAGTAACGATTAACAAGACTTTAATATCAGAAGTATACATTTATTTCTAGAAACAAAGGCCAAGTTCCTGCCCCGTCTGGCCTCTCCCAGGCACTCCTGCAGCACTAGGCTGAGAGACCCCAGGATGAGCCCCAGCAAGGCCCCTCCTTCCCCATCAGGAAAGACGGGGGACAGAATGGAGAGGCATCTCAGCACACGGGTTCTCTCTGCTGACAGTCCCTTGACAGCACAGGACTCACTGCTGCTTCTCTGGCTGAGACCCAGACCCCACCCACCTCGATGTCCAGAGAGTGCTGGCTCCTACATCCAGCTCATCACCACAGACATGCTATCCAGAGGCACTGAGTGCCCATCCCAGGAAGTAGGCCAGCAGAAGAATGAGGCCACCCTGGAGACAGGGGGAAGGATCCAAACCCAGAAATGGGTCTGAACCCATCAGGTCTCAGCCTTGGTGTCATTGGTTGTTTGGGCCGGATCGCTTTGTGGTAACGCTGACCTGAGCACCGAAGAGATGACCCCTAGTCACCACCCCCCCCACCCCCAGGGAAGCCGCACCCAGCTGAGAACTTCTAGACCAGAGGGATTCAGGCCTCTTTCTCTCCTGAAATCCTGTGACTTTTCCCTTGGGAGGGGGATACACAACAGCTCTCTGTTCACTACATCATCGCAGTTGCTATGGAAACCGGGGATTTTCTTTGCATCTTCGTTCTCCTTTCGCTGTCCTCCCTTCCCTTCGTGCGTTCTCTTAACCAGCAAACCCTGCCTGTGGAGCCCAGGGGATTATTATACAAACAGCCGCTGTAACAATGGTCTGACCTAGAATTGTTTGAGAATCAAGTGAGAGGATGTCAAGGAAGCAGGATGTCTGGCCGCCTGCTCTGAGAACTGGGCCTGGAAGAGGGTGGCTAGGGCTGTGGGGGACAGCAGAGGGAGCGGCTGGGCTGACACTGCAGGGACGGGAGGACAGCCAGCCTTGAGGGGTCAAAGAGGTGAGTGGCACACAGTGGGGGTGGGAAGGAGGCGGGAGTGGGGACTGGATGATCAGGAGTGTGGGGTTGCCGGGCATGGTGGCGCACGCCTTTAATCCGAGCACTCGGGAGGCAGAGGCAGGCGGATCTCTGGGAGTTCAAGGCCAGCCTGGTCTACATAGTGAGTTCCAGGACAGCTGGGGCTACAGGGAGACCCTGTCTCAAAAAAATTAAAGACCAACATCGACAGAAAACAAAAGAATGTGGGGCTAAACAGTCTCAGAGCTGCTGCGGTGGTGGGTGGGGGGTTTGTTGACCCAGTAGTGACCATGAGAGGAGGGGCCAGACAGGAGGGAAACAGAAAGCAGGACCATGGGGAGGAGCCAGGTGTGCAGAGGAGAGGTGTGGCCTCGTCTCCTGTGGGAGGGGCCACGTGTGCAGGGTGTGGTCATGTCTCCTGGGAGGAAGGCCAGGCACCTTGTCAGTGGCTGGTGGTCAGGATGTTGTCTGGGTAGAAAAGAGAAGCTACTAGGTACCTTGCTATGCGGTCCTGCATCCCATTCCGAGGCTGGTCACATGGCCATCTCCAGGGAGGCTGAGATGGAAGGGCCAAGGAGGAGCCTCTCTCTCTCTCTCTCTCTCTCTCTCTCTCTCTCTCCCCCTTCTTTCTTTTGAGAAGTAGCCTAGGCTGGCTTTGAACGCCATGTAATCCTGCCTTAGCCTTTAGAGTTCTGGGTTATAAGAATGAGCCACCATGACCACTTTTTCCACTTAGTTTTTGACCAGAGTGGCTGCAGGTGACAGAGCCAGTCTCGGACATGGCTTGCTAACCTTCAGCCTTTGTTAGGTGACCTGTAGTGTCTTGATATGGGCAGCCCTGGACAGCAGGTCCACTTTGGCAAGAGGGACCTCAGTTAGCTCCTCTGCTCAAGGTTGTAGGATGAGGCCTCACTGCAAGGTTCAGAGACTTTGGAGGGAGTGCCACCCACTGTGCAGGGGCCACTGAGTGGTTGGGGCTTCTTCTGGAAGCTGTAACTGATTGGGGTCTCACTGGCAGTGCTGGGCCTCCTGCTTCTCCCAGCTCAGAGGAGGCTGGGAAATATGCCCAGCTACACCCTGCCCTGCTCCAAACCAAGGATTTGTTGGAAGGAGGGAAGGGTGGAGCTGTGGCAGGTCCCTTTGGCACCTGCGAAATCTGTGCTCTGTGACTATCACCTGGTCTTCAACATCCAGCCCAGAATGGAGGCTGGAGAACAGCATCCAGCCAGAGAACAAGCCCTGGGCCGCCTGCCTGACCCTCCCCCAGCAGCCCGTGCTCTGGTCGGTTGCACAGCTAACCAACAGCCTTGCTTGTTCAGAGCCCCCGTAGGGCAGGATGCAGACACAGCTCGCAGGGAGGAGGGTCAAGGCAACAGGGCTGTCCCTTGCCAGCAGGAGTGTGGACCATGCCAGGTGACAGGTGAGGCAGCAGATGGTGGCTGAGGGGGGTGCTAGTCTGAGAAGGAACAGGGAGCCTGTTACCAGGCCGAGCCAGCCTGGGGACAAGGTTAGGGCCTGTGGCTGTCTATGTAGAAAACTCACTACCCGCTCACTACTGCACTGCATGCAAAGGGTCCTTTTGAGACCCCTCTGTAAGTTCAGAGCCGGTCCCCAAACCTGCCTGTGCTTCCCAGGCACCTAGAGGTGTGTTTCCCATAAATCCTGAACCCTACCACCTTGCAGACCCAGTACCTGAACCTGTGTTTTCAAACAAACCCCGAGGTACCTGGATGCAGGACGCCCTTGGCTCTTCCGTTGACTCACACCCAGGCACAGCTTGCCTGGTGCTTGCTGCGGCCAGGCCCTGGTCCCTGCAGGACTGCGATAGCAAAGTGACATTGCCAAGTCCTGCCACACAGCAAGGAACTAAAGCTGGGATGGGAGGTCCCTGGGGCAGGCCACCCAGCTATCTGGGACAGCCTCGAAAGCCTGGTAGGGACAGATGGGCGGAACTGAGGCCTAGGGGCTGGCAGGGTCCCCTGAGTCCCAGACTTTCCAGACAGCGGGTGTCTGAAGTCAGGGTTTTCCTGAGAATCGGGAGGGTGGGAGGAGGGAGAGCGCAAGAGAGACACGGAGAAAAACAGAGAGGAGAGACTCTCCCACCCCCACATGCTCTCATGGAGCCCAGGCTGTCCTTGAACTCACTAAGGAGTCAAGGATGACCTTGACCTCCTGGCCCTCCAGCCTCTACCTCTGCAGTACTGGGATTTTAGGTGTGCACTGCCACACCCTGTTTATATGGTGCTGGGATTGATCCTAGGTCCTTGTACATGCTAGGCAGGCAGGTACTCTACCAGCTGAACCAGTTCGAGAGATTGATGAATTGGTTATAAGGAGTTGGATCAGATGACATAGAGGGTCACAAGTCCAATGTCAGGCCACCAGCTGGAGACCAGAGAAAAAGCGATTTGATGGTTGACATCTAGTGGCCATCTTGCTGGACGGAGTGCTCTCTTTGTTCCATTTAAACTTTCACCTGATTGGGTGAGGCCCACTAACATCATTAAGAATAGTCCTCTCATAGTCCACTACCTTAAACATTAATCTCACTTCTAAACACATCCAAGAAACATCCAGAATAATAGACCAATTATAGACCAGCCTAGCCCAGATGTAGCCCAATCAAGTGAGGCAAAGATGAACCCTCAGAACACCCACTAAATATTTGTCCAATGACTAAACGAATTGTCCTGGGGACGGGACAGCGCAGATAGTGGAAAAAGTTTACGATGCTGAAAGCCTCACCTGCTGTCTGCCTCTCTCTGTGACCTCAGCACTAGGATCTTATCTCGCTGGAGAAGACGAGTCTGGTCCAGGGCCTGCTCGGCCACTCGCCCACTGTGCCCAGCCCAGCACGATGTGCCCCGGTTCCAGCCGGGGAGGCAGAGGCTGCTGGGTCTCAACACCTGCCCCATCTCTGGGGAACTGGTTGACCTTGAGTCTGCATCTGGCTCTTTTGTTACATAACTTCCCTTTCCCAGGGCTCAGAGGATGTGGGCTCAGTGACTGTTCCTTTGTGTTGGGTGATCTTGAGCCAGGGCTCTGGAGCTGGGCTCCTAGGGTGGAATCCTTGACTGGCTTGGCTTCCCTGAGCCTCAGGCACGTAGGATTTTCGGTATTTCAGGGTGTTGCTGTCACAGTGGGTATGCTGAGTGTAGAGGCAGTTCTCGGCCCCATGCTGTCAAAGTTCAGCTCCTGCTAGAAAGAAAGGCTAATAGCTGTCCATAACTTCAGTGCCGGGGGATCTGACACTCTCTTCTGACCTCCGTGGGCATTACATGCACAGGTGTACTTACATACATGCAGACAACAATACATTAAAACATAATTTTTAAAAACAAACAAGGTGGGGACCTGGAGAGATGGTTTAATGGTTAAGAGCACTGACTGCTCTTGCAGAGGACCCGGGGTTCGATTCTCAGCACCCACATGGTGGCTACGAACTGTCCATAGCTTCAGTTCCGGGGCTCCGTCGCCCTCTTCTGACCTCTGAGGGCATTGCATGACATGGGTTCACTTACGTGCATTCAGGCAATACACTCATACACACAAAATAAAATAAAAATATTAAAAATAAACAAAGAAAGCCAGGTGTAGTGGCGCACGCCTGTAGTCCCAGCACTTGGGGGGCAGAGGCAGGCGGATCTCTGTGAGTTCAAGGCCAGCCTGGTCTACATAGTGAGTTCCAGGAGAGCTGGGGCTACAGGGAGACCCTGCTTCAAAAAGACAAAAATAAATAAATAAATAAACAAACAAAATGGACATGGCTCCTGAGGATGAGAGCCGAGGTTGACCTCTGGTCTCCACACACGCAACCCTCAGCGCATACACAAAGAAAGAAACTGGTCTCAGAGGAGGCACACAGTCACTTTAGTGGATGCCTAGAGTGCAGGTGCCCTGTTCACCTCCACAGTGCCCTTGAGAGGTGTGTCTTGTTATCAGCTTTATGTGGGGGAGAGGGGGGTCAGAGGGACAGAGGCTGGGATACAGCCCAGGACATCCCAAGACCCCCTTTGCTGCACACTACAGGGCTCCAGGGCACAATAGGACCCTGTTTTGTCAACCACATTCCCCATGGTGGGATGCCGGATGTGGGAAGTGTGTACTGGAAGAGCTGTGAAGAGCTCGGCTCAGAGGGATGTTGGAAAGGCTCTGCAGAGCCGACAACTTGGGGTCATTCATGCCCTGGATGAGAGAGGCCTTGAGCCCATCTATGGAAATTGTGGTGTCCCATCTCACAGGACTTCAGAGGATGAAGCGAGATGATGACAGTGCCATGCTATGCACTGTCAACCCTCTGACCCCATGGAGGGGAGCAGGTGCGACAGGGCCAGCTATCCTGATCTGGGATCGCTGGGACAATGAGGGTGGTGGTGCCACCTGCTTGTGGAATCTGCCCCATCCTGGTGGCACCTGACCACATGACTCTCACAAGAGGGTGGAGGAGGGTTGCTAGGTAAGAAGCAAGCTGATCACACTCTTGCCTACGTCTACGGTGTCTGTGGGCACCTATGGATGCCACACCAAACCAGGTTCCACATCTCAGCCCGTCCCACACCCTAGGGACAACTCAACACTTTGGCAGTCTCCACACCCTGGCCTGTCTCTGCACACATTGGGTCATCTCCACACCCAGGTCCATCGCCACACCTGGGGGGGTCGTCTTCCACATCCAGCCCATCTCCACACTCCAGGTGTGTCCAAGCTTCTTAAAGAGATTTGGAGACGAATCTCGGAAGTCCCATTTCCCAGCGGAGAAGCTGGTGCAGGGAGTTTGTGTCTGCACACAGCACGGAGGGACGCAGTGGGGACTGGCACCAGAGCCATGCCCTTGCCTTCCCCAAGCTGAGGTCTGCCCACCGCTCTATCCTGGTTCCTCTCCAGCTGCCCTCCCAGGAGGAAGCCCTGAGCACCTGGTGGCAGAGCTCTCTGCAGCTTTGGGGACTCCTGTGTCTTCCCTTGAGCTGGATCCCAGCCCTGGG